CAAGCTTTACAAAAGTCTCTTAAGCAAGAAAGATGATTAACTTAGTATAAAAAAAAGTTTTAGATGCGTATATGCCATATTCACACCATAGTAAATTTATATAGTAATCTGAGTCACATTTTACTATGATCATGCTTCAGTTGACTGGAGGATCATTAATTAAAAAAAAAGAAAAAATGAATCAAAGATTTTATATATTTAAATAAAGTTTAAAAAGCACTATACAAAAAAAAACTCTTCCTAACGATCACTTGTACCAAATTTTCCCACCAAACAAAAAACAAAAAATTGTTAGAGTAGTTAATACAACTATCGAGTGGTTCTTGCAAAGGTTCAACCAGGTTATATTCTCTCCCTTTGATATATTTGGCATGCATGTTGGTATACAAGATAACTGGCTAGAGGTTGTGCTCTTGTATACAAAATTTTGGTATTGACAGACTTGGTGTAAAAAGCAGTTTTTGCTAATGAAGCAACCGAGAGGCAATAAAGAAAAGAAGAACAACAAATAAGTTTTTAAAGACATTCCTTAAAGATTTAAAGTACTTAACCCCAAAAACCACTCTACATATTCTCACCAAGTTTTTTGGTGTTTTTTTCGAAATTTTTTCTTAAAAGTGAGAATTCTGATATACCTCCATTAAAAGATCGATATTGCTTACATTACCAAATTGAGAGGTAGTCACGAGGAAGTCAGGTGCTCTACATCTAACAACTGTTAAAAAACATATACAAGTAGTATGTAAACAAAGTTCAACTAATTGGTTTTGTATCTATAGGTAAACAAGAAAATTTCATATTTTCTACACAATAAAAACTATTTTAATACTAAAGTAAAGTGAAGGTGGGAATTGTTTTACAGAGTATTAAATAATTTTTTAACTGAAACTTCATGTTTCTCCAAGTATCGGTATACTTATTGCTTTTATGATTTTTGCTTTTTTCTTTTTGTTTTTCTCTTTTTTTTATCATTTTATTTTTTTCTTTTTGTTTTTTTTTTTTTTTTTTTTATTTTTTTTTTTTTAAGGTGAGATCTTGCCTCATATTATTTATTAAGTATATACGTATATAAATTACATATATTTATACAACAATTAATAGAACAGTGGCTTAGACTAATTATCTACAATCTATACCTACCAGAGCTGTCCATGTCCCACTCATATATTACCTAGATTTTGTATACCACTAACTAAATATCCTATTCTAACCTTAACATATTCCCCACATTTTTTATACTAACAACCTTATACTCCCAATATGGTTCCAGTGTGGTATCCGTTACAGATCCCACTAGGGGGCACTAGGCAAGCGTAACCTCATGGCTACTTTCAGATTGGTGTAGTACATGTTGTCTGCTGTTACTGAGTTTGTATCTCAAGCCATTATTTGTAATGCTGCCGTAACCTAGTTCGTATCTCAAGCACAACCTTCTTTATTACGTATAGTGTTGATAATATGCATGCAGGACTTGATAACAGATACTCTCCTAATTGGTGGGTTTCACAGATTATGGGTATCAAAATTTTCAACCAAGTTTTTTGGAGTACATATTGTACTACTTCCAGTATTATATATTGGTATTTTAAAGTTGGTGTTCCTGTGTTCTGTTTCGTACTTATTCCTTTTTCCAAATCTCATCCTAGGATCTTCCCCTAGTCATACTACCGAAGTAGCCAAAGAATGTACAACTAAGACGGCTCACGTGACCTGGTGACCAGACAAGTACTTTTAGTTGGGTATGACCTTGCCGTATCTTGTCCATTTTAAGCGTATCCCAAGTTTTCACCTATCAACTCTCTATATAAGGAAATCCTATTCAATCTAGTAGTAGTACAAGTGCCAGAGGTGTTCCAAATTTGGTAAGGCCAATTTTTTACCACAGGCCCCTTTGTGTTCACCACATTTTTCACCACTTCCAATTCTAGTTACCATCTAGTCGTCCTCCCAAACAAAATTTCCAATTCCGCCTTGGGTTGTTGGTGCTACCTTGCCAATCGCAGATTTATACGCACGACTTTTGTGTAATAGAACTTTCTGTAACAACCCCTGTTACATGTAGTACCAACTACTTCACAATGGACCTCTTTCCGGAAATTCCTAATCTAAACCTGTATTCACTTGGACTTCTTACGGCAGATACTTCCAAATATTCATAGTATTATATTACTATATTTTAGCATTGGTATAGTTATACAAATTACTATTTATAGTCTAGTTTAAATACCACGATTTAAATATGTACTATTAGATTTATTAGTAGACTTTTTACTATTTTGTAATTGAAATTATATTGGCATAATATTTTGACATAATACCTTAGCATAGTACTTTAGCATAGTACTTTAGCATAGTACCTTAACATAGTACCTTAGCATAGTACCTTAGCATAGTACCTTAGCATAGTATCTTAGCATAATATTTTAGCATAGTACTTTATCATAGTACCTTATCATAATACTTTAGCATAGTACCTTAGCATAGTATCTTATTATAGTACCTTATCATAGTACTTTAGCATAGTACCTTAGTATAGTACCTTAGCATAGTATCTTGGCATAGTATCTTAGCATAGTACCTTAGCATAGTACTTTAGCATAGTACCTTAGCATAGTACCTTAGTATAGTACTTTAGCATAGTACCTTGTTATAGTACTTTATTATAGTACTTTAGTATGCATAGTACTTTAGCATAGTACCTTAGCATAGTATCTTGCTATAGTACTTTAGTATAGTACCTTGACATAGTACCTTACTATAGTATCTTGATATATAATACCTTAATATGTTTTTAACAATAACATGTTTTTAGCATGTCAAAAAGCTATATAAACTCTGCCTTTTTCCCCAAGGCAGGTTAGGTTCTTCTAGCTAAACTTTTATAGAAGATTCTTTTACCTAAGCTTTTATTAAAAGTTTTTTTTTATCTTAAAGCCCTTTCTTTAGCTTAGATTTATACCTCCAAGTCCTGTTCTTTATCTAATAAACTAATACTTATTTTTGACTATACTCTCATTACATTGTGTATATCCTTATCCTTTACCCATTATATTGTAAAGGCTTCTTTTTATTGTGTTTTCATTATATTTTTGTTTAGTTTTAGTCTTGTTTTTATCCTTTACCTATTATATTGTAAAGGCTTTCTTAATTATATTTGTTTTATATTTTTGTTTTGTTTAGATTTTGTTTTTATTCTTCACCCATTATGTTGTGAAGGCTCTCTTTTATTGTGTTTTTATTATATTTTAGTTTGTTTTTATTCTTCACTCACTATGTTGTGAAGGCCTTCTTTTTGGTATTTTAGTTATATTTTTTGTTTGGTTTTTATCCTTCACCTATTATGTTGTGAAGGCTCTTTTTAGTGTGTTTTAGTTATACTGCTTTATTACTATTCTTAAGTATTCTCTTTGAGGTTTTTTGTGTTTTATTTCATATCTTGTTTTGGTTCTTGTATTAGTTTATTTTGTTTATTCTTACACATTTCTTGCTCTCTGTACGTTAAGTCAAGTAATGTAGTTAACCGATTTAGATTTTCTATGTTACAGTTTTGGTGACAATGACAGGATCTGCTCTTCTTTGTGTCTTTGTGATTTCCTAGCTTCTATTTATTTCTTTTCTTTTCTTTTATTTTTATTTTTATCTTTATTTACTTCTACTTTTATTTTCTTTTATATTTATATTTTTAGCCTATATTTATCTCACTTTATTATTATTATTATTATTATTATTATTATTATTATTATCATTATTTTTATTATTTTATTTACCTTTTTTATTTTTACTTTTTAACAATCTGAATTGCCTTCCTATTTTGATAGTTCTTTATAAATATTGCTCAATATAAGGAACAAATTCGACAACATAATTTTGTTCATTCAACCAACCAACAAGTACTTCACAGTAAATATAAAGCAAAACCGGATCCTAGTTGTTCTGACTGTAATTCAGTGAATTTAAACTTTGCTCTAGCAGCACAATTTTCAAGATTTTGGCCTTTTTTTCAATTTAAATATCAAGCTTAAAGTTTTTCTAAATATACTATTGATCTATTTTTTGCAATCTACCAACAACCTTTCTCTAAGGATAAAAGTAAAAATTTCTATAGTTTATTAACTACTTGTCACTATCAAGAAAATCAACCACCAAAAAAATTTAGTAAAAAATGTTCCTGAATTAATAGCTAAGTGGATAGCAACATCTAGCTTTATTACTACTTCTATACAATCAGAAAACAATAGTAACTCTGAAACTTCTTCTACTGCGGCTATAATTGTAGAATCTACTAGTAGTAGCTCTAATTCTTCTATAACAGCTTTAGTTGCTGAATCTACTCATTTAACTAACAATACTATACACAACCCATCAACTGAAACTATAACTAATACAATTGCAACAACTACTCACAATCCAACTAATATAGTATCTGCATCGAATAACATTAATACAAACACAAATTCAAACCTATATGACGAATTTTTTATAAATATTCTCTCAGATCTAAGTAACATGTCTGGTCAAAGAACATCTACTCATATAACACACCAAATACCTACTTTAATAGCTATGCAAGATAGAAATAATAATGAAAACAATAGACACAGTAATGAAGCTCAAAATAATACTATTACTCAACTGTATATTAATGATAGATTAAACCAAGAAGCTGATGAATGCTATATATCTATTAATAATGAACAAAACAACTATTTGCAGCACGAATGAGAAGAATTTAATGCTGAAAATACTATCCCTTAAATTGTAACACAGGCAAATTTGCCTGTGTTTTTATTAAAAAGTTTAATTTTTTTAATAAAA